CAGGAAATGTGGCAGTAACAAAGTATCAATAATCGATGATTGATGCATCGTGATGCAGACTAACAAAAATCTGAATCCGTTTTAAAATACTCATTAATGGTTATTTATAGGGTGATGTGAAGAAACATGACAGGTGGAACTGGATAGTGAGGAGGTGCATGCAGTAAAGAGGTGTACTTCTGTAATATGCAGAACTGGCATACTACAGAAGTACACAGCATATTTGTTGGTTTATTTTTGGTTGAATTTTCAGTTTTAGTCAGTGATCATGAAATGTCTGGATGCTTCTGGTTCAGAAACTAAATGGTTCCCGGTAGTTTAGTTTATTCGTATTGTGACACCAGTTCCACCTCATTAGGTTTATTTTTAGTGCATTTCCTGATTTTAGCTCCGACTGTTCTCAGTTTCCTGTTTTGTGGCTTTGATGTACACCTTGCACCACCTCTTACGTCGTTTTCTTTTTGTTCACGTTTAAACTCTTCTACTGATTGATCTTTTATTTCCTGCTCATTTTATACATTTTTAACAGCCTGATGTCAGCTGTTGTAATGTTAATGTTAAAAGACATTTATAAAAATAAAAACAACTGAAGCCTTAGTGTCGTTGGGGTGGCCGGTTTAACCATCGACATACGTATATGGACAATGGGTTTCCATAGGCTCCAATAACACGTTTTTGTGCTAAAATGGGAGGTGGCCACCACCGCCATTTTGACCGTGTCACAGGTTCCGTCAAGCCCAGACAATTCCACAAAAGGGAAGAGAGGAGGAGCTGAGGGTGGAGCTGTAAGGCTGGGATCGACTGACGACACCCGGTCGAACTAGCTACAAGCTAACCTGAAGCTAACCCAAAGCTAATGCGGAGGTGGGAGCTAAGCTAACGGAGGTAGCAACCTAGCTACAACCGGAGTTAACTGTGCACAACACCAGAGCTTCTGAGTCAGAGACACGCCGGGCTGACCGCTGGGTAAAACCGGGTGGAACACAGAGGTCTCCGAGACCTCCACAAGCCGGCAGCCGCACAGCAGACAAGCGCCGCGATCAGACAGAGATGCGCCGAGCTGCGGGGAGAAGAAGAAGACGAAGAAGAAGAAGAAGAAAATATCATTTCTATAGCGCCTCTCAAGATAAAAATCATGAGGCGCTTCGCAAAAACAAAAAATAGAAAAATGTAAAAAGCATTTAGAAAATGTTTAAAAATATATTTTAAATGAGCAAAAATAAGCAATTGCGATTTAAAAGAAAAAATGTTAAGAAAGAGAGAGAGTGAATAGGAAAGAGGGAAATCAGTGGATCATGAGGAAGGTGGAATAGGTGGTGAGAGCAGAATAAAGAGAGAGAGGTGAAGAAGTCATACAAAAGCCAGCGTGAACAAGTGAGTCTTCAGCTGCTTTTTAAAGGAGACCACTGAGTCCACTGATCTCAGGCTCAGGGGGAGAGAGTTCCAGAGTCTGGGGTCCACAGCAGCAAATGATCTGTCACCTTTGACCTTTAGCCTGGTGCTGCACAACCACTGGACCTCAGGGACCTGCTGGGGGTGTAGGCACTAAGAAGATCACCAATGTAAGATGGTGCTTGTCCATGTAGGGCCCTATAGACCAGAACCAGGATCTTGAAATGAACCCTGAAGTTGACTGGCAGCCAGTGAAGCTGGAGGAGAAGCGGGGTGATGTGGGTTTCTTCATATGTTCTAAATTTCGTCCACATGCTACTGTCTACTAGGGATGGCTAGTTAGCTAGCAACACAACAGCTAAAGAAAACAATGAAAACGAAGTCAGCATTTTCCTTTCTGAATAATTTCATTTGCACTTCTCAAAGATATATTCTTACCAGTGGGCTTTCTCCTGAAAAAACTGGAGTTTCGACTGTTTTTTAAAATGTTTTCTATGATCCATTGATTACTGCTAATGCTACTTATCACAAGGTTTATTCCACTCCAACTGATCTCAGAACAAAGAGCTGGCAAAACACAGTCACAAGACACCAAACATTTACATTAAGGTGGCGCAAAACACAACATTTCCATAATTTCACAACATCCTTTTACTTGGGTGTACGCATTCCAGTGGTTGCCGCCTCACTCAATATCGCACGCAGAGCACGTCGCACACGCTCGTGTCCATTCAGAGCATCGGCATTTACATATAAGAGCAGGCAAGATAGGAGAGGGGAGGGGGTGAGTCACCACGGTAGTAGCAAGCCCAGCTTAGGGTTAGATGAGCGAGCCTGTGGCTGATGAGTGAAAAAATTATGAATAAACATTCGGGGCTCGACTGAAAACATTCAGGGCTGAAGCCCCGTCAAAATCGGCTGGTGACGCCGCTGCCTAAAATACATAAATATAATTTTACTTACCGAAAAAAATGAAGTGGAGACTCCTTGGACGCTCTATTAGTGCAGTTAATACCACAGCAAGTCATTTTGTCCAACAATTGCACAAAAATATCCAAAACAGAATTCACAAGCACAGAGACTCTAAATCCCGGAGCAGTTCCCAGGCCAGACCGAGGCTCTACTGAGGCCTTTCCACGGAGCTAGCTCTGTGGTCACGTGGGTCTGAGGCGGCGGTCACATGTGTCTGATGCTCATTAATTATACAGAATTTTAGGAATTTAATACACTTAAACAGAAGAGTGAGAAAAAAATTCACCCCCCTCAGAGTTGTCATGAGTGTAAACTAGATCATTTAGACAAAAAACATGTTTTGGTACCAGGCTGTAAACATGTTTATTTCTGCTGTGAAACAGTGTTAATTTTGACAGGAAATTTTAATTTAATTTTAGTCTTTTGGCTAAAAATTAATTTTAGTCTTAGTCCAATTTTAGTCATTAGATTTATTTTAGTTTTAGTCCCATTTTAGTCGACGAAAATAACAAGTAATTTTAGTCGATGAAAATAAGCAATTTTAGTCAACAAAATGCATATATTTTTTCTATTGAGGTAATTTCCTACTTTTGTATAGAGCACGGAAAAACTAGTGTAATTTAATACACAGGGTCCAAACTCTTAACCACCACTGATCAGATATAGCACACACAGCTAAGAACATAGAATATTTGAATAAAAAAACACTTCACATGTTTAACACTTACGTGTTTAATAAAAAACAAAAAGCACACTGGAAATTACAAAGGTGCTCTTTTTAGCAATTGCACAACAAGAATTGACAAGAACAGCAAATTTAAACATGTTAACCCTGAGTCTGTAGATATTCACTTGTTACAACACAGGCTCAACCAAACAGTGTGAATATTTATTTGCTGCGATTCATTTTGAGAAAAGCACTTGATTCTAGTGTGACCTTTGCTCGTTTACATTTCCCTTTAGTGAGGTCACCTGTGATACTGAACACTCTGTCTGCAAAAGATTGAGAAGCTGGCATTGCCGATATATCTAATGCTAATGGTTTCAGGCTGGGATAAAATGTGTCACATTTTCCAAGCCAGAACTCCATTCCCGTTTCACAAGTGATGGACTATGAGAGCTCTTCCTTATACTGGCTTATCTGCTGTCTAACACTACACTTGGAAGATTTTGGTTTAGGCTTTGCTCCGAATTTGGAGAGAAACCTGAAGACTGGTTGTCTGGAGGAGGAGGAGGAGGCAGATGATGAAGAGGAGGCGGCGGCGGGTGGTGCCGGTTCAGGTCCATTCAGTTCCTCCAGATCAGAGTGGTTCTCCTGTGTCTGAGAGCACCGAACAACATACCCTTCTGCCTGCTTGAGCAGCTCCTGAATGTTATCATCAGCCACATTGAGGAGGGTCTGACACACAGTAGGATTCAGAAAGCAAGCAGCTGCTACAAGTGGGGAAAACTTGTCATCTGAGGGATCTTTAACACATGCAAACGGTGCACCGGGTTATTAAACGTACCGGTAAAACATCTGCGGGCTCGGGACTCGGATCATATCAGTGCAAACCAGACATTGTGAAAATTATAAACAGCCAGCAGCATGCTTCACTTTACTGGTCTAGTCCTGGTTTAGAGCGCACGTGCAGCGAGCGGCTGCGACCCAAAAGTACCAGAACCGCTCACGGCGCAATCATGCATCAACACTGCTCGCCCGCTATTTCCCTAATAACACACGTTATAGTCGTGAAAATACGGTACTTCCTAATTTTTATCCCAACATGAGTTGATACAGTTTTATTTGCCTGTATATTACTTTTCGGGTCGTCACGCGTACATTTAAGTGGATTTACCTCGGAGAAAATGGCTTAATGGCCATTTTGTAGATGCCTCTTCAGATTCGTTGTGTTCTTTCCTCGGAACGACAGTCCACACTCTCGGCATGTAGTTTTGGTAGCAATGTTATCATAAGAAAAATGACTCCACACATCTTCTTCTCTTTTTCACCCAGCAGTTAACATTTTCCTCTACTTCTTCTTCTTATGACGTCGATATATTCAGTGAGCTATGTTTAGCATACCGCGCATACCTGCCACTTCATACTATTCGGGGTCTGTCTTCGCTCACGTCCCGCACGTTCACGGCACGCCACGCCCCTTGTCTTCTACTACGTTCGCGTCTCACAACACCACAATAGGCGCACCGCACCATAGAGCGCCATGTAGAGGAGCGTCATCGTGGATTTTCGTCTCGTCTTTCATTTGTTGACTAAAAGTTTCAATCAATTTAATTATCGTCTTTGTCTTTTTCCAAGCTTTTATTTTGAAATTTTGTTTAATTTTCGTCTGTAAATATATTTTCGTGACGAAAAAAAGCTGAAAATTATTTTGTCAACAAAATTAACTCTGCTGTGAAATTGGCATTTTTAACATGGGAGTCAATGAGGATTTGCTCGTTTCTGACATCAGCCCCTAGTGGATGAGAGTGGAACTGCAAATTTTGGTACTTCCGGGTTGGGACCAATTTTAGAGCCGCATTGTGGGGGCTTGTGTCGTCACCTGTTGTTTTGTTCTCAGCTTTCTTTTCCTGCACTGTAGTTGCTGTTTACACACACATTATTAAGGTGTGTGTGTGTGTGTTTGTGTTTGCAGACCCAACACTGTTCTACGGTTACGGTTTAACCACTTTGCCACCGAGTGCAGCTGGGACCACCTGTACGTGTACGACGGTGACTCCATCTATGCTCCTCTGCTGGCTGCTTTCAGGTACATGTTCTTTGGATCGCACTCACCTGGATTCCTCCAGACAACATGGCAGCCTTTCAGGTTACAGGTCTGGGACTTTAGAGTGTTCTCACCAGTCATCTTCTGATTGTTTATTTGGGTTTCTTTTAACTTTTCTGTGGTTTTTCTTAAAGATGATGCCAACGCCCGCTTTCAGTTCTCCTTTTTTAAAGAGAATAAATTAACGTCCTTAAGTTAAAGGTTTAAATAGCAATCCATATTTAGATCAAAGACTAGAAAATGAGTCCAAATACACGACTGGTCCGAGAACATTGTGAGCTAAGATGTCTCTTTTCTGTTGCCATGACAGCGGTCTGATAGTCCCTGAGCAGTATGGGAACGAAACGGTTCCTGAGGTGGTGTCTCAGTCCGGCTTCGCCCTGCTGCACTTCTTCAGCGACGCTGCCTACAACCTGACCGGCTTCAACATCTCCTACAGGTAGGAGGCTAACGCTAACGATAAGCTAACAAACAAGAGTCAGGCACTACATCTGAAGAGCAGTACCGTATTTTCCGGAGTACAAGTCGCACCAGCCATAAAATGCATAACGAAGAAGAAAAAAACATATATGAGTCGCACTGGACTATTAGGTTGCATTTTGGGGGGAAATTTTATTATTTTTCTTACAAAATCTGAGACCAAGCATTTCACATTGCAAGACGAGTACCGGTAACAATAACAGAATAAACAATCAGGGCTCAGCACCCCACCACAGGCAGGTGATGGCGGTGTTTCACACCCTCCCAGTGGGGCAGAGGAGCTGAAACCTGGACTGGAGCCGGCCCGCAGCAGCGCACAACGGTCTCCAGCAGGTGATGGCGGGGCAGGGGAGCTCATTCCTGGTCCAGAGCCGGCCCGCAGCAGCGCGGTATACATAATTTGGTATATACCAGCCAGACTATGAAAAAAAGTGCAACTTATAGTCTGCAAAATACGGTAAACTGTATTTTTTAAGTATAAACACTTGACAAACAAAGTTTATTCATTTATTATATATAAATAAAAATGGTCGTAGCATCAGTCACGGCTCATAAAGTGGAAGCAGACAATGGAAATGAATAGGAAATTCAATATAACTGGAATAAGGGAATAAATTTCATTTTAGCTACTTAATGCTAATATTTATAATTAAAATAATCAAAACCAAATGAACCAAGTTTTACTTTATTTATCTTTATCTGATGAGATGTTTGTTTACTGGATCTGTCCCTACATGCGTGCATTGTTTTAGGAGGATGAGTTAGAATAATTCCACTAGAGACCGCGGTGGATGAAAGGGCCCCTGGGGCTCCGGGGCCTCCGGTCCGGGGGTTCAGAGCAGCACAAAAACATAAAAGAACCATTTTTCTCTCTGAATAGTGAAATCATCTCATTGCAGTTTCTTCCTCTGCAGATAACATTTATTTTCTTAGTTGCAGCTGAGCTCTCTGGTGTTCTACTAACATCAGAGCGTTTTTAAATGTTAAACTCAAATGCAGCTTTCCTTCTTTATCCAGCTGCATCATTTAAATGCATCATCCACGTCTTGTACATATAAGAGTCATGTTGTTGCATTATCAAACACAGAAAGTAGACATTTCACCCTCTTTCACGCTAAGTAAAACGCTGCTAGTCGCAAAAATGGCCAATGTGGTTTATTTCTTCTACATAAAAACGATTATAAATGATGCAATCATCTACAAAAGTCACCCCTTTCAGAGCAATGCAGCGGTGTAGATGGTGCAATATAGTAATTCATCTATTTAGAGATAAAGCATTAAATTTCACCTTAAATCTGTCATCAAGCAGCTACTCATTTAAATGTTAAATTTTCCTTTTAATTGTAAGAATGGCTTGCTTTGGTACTTTGTAGTATTACTAATGTTCTAAGTGTCAGTACATGTGTTAAACAACCTCCCACCTTTGAAGCAGTTTAGTAAAAACAAATGTTACGTCTGCGGTAGATTTAGAGGAGTCGTCCGTAGTGAGCTAATGGGCCGTTAGCTCGCTGGTTGATAGCCAGTTTTAGGACTGACATAATACAAAGCCACTTATATTGTTAATGTTTTTCTGATGCGTGAAATCAATGCATATTTTTATCTTTATAATTGTCAGCTTGATTACAAGTAATACGAAGTATAATGTCGACTGTTTTCCTCTTGTCTCCTTTGAAGGGTGAACACATGCCCCAACAACTGCTCTGACCGAGGCGAGTGCCGCGTGGGGAACTCCTCTTCTTTGGTTTACTGTGAGTGTGACGCCAACTGGAAGGGCGAAGCCTGTGACATCCCGTACTGCCTGGCCGACTGTGGTTACCCCGATAGAGGCCACTGCCAGGGGAAGACCTGCATTTGTAAAGCTGGTTGGCAAGGTGACCCTTCCTGTAGCTGTTTTCTGTCTGAGCCAGAGCTGTTCCCACAACAGACTAGAACCCGTTACTTAGGATGATGCAGCAGTAGACGTTCTCAGGCATCTGAAGGGAGATGG